ACATAGCAAACAGGGTATCCTTTGTGTCCACAGCTACCAGTCTGAGCATGGTAGACATGACCAGAGCGGTGCTCTTCAGATTCATTTCAAAGTATAGTAAGTCTAGTAAATCCGGGAAGGGAAGTTCCAAAAACCACTTAAACCTAGGTCTACTTTTGGACATCTTCCAAAGTGCATGAGTAAGGTCTTCTCAAGAATGAATTCTGCACAGAAGACAGCAGCACCAAGAAATGCAGGAGATACAGAGCTCAGCAAAAATGTTTGGAGTGCCTGAATCCAGCGGAGCCACAAGTGACTATCCCTTAACTGTTGAGTTATATAAGCCAATAAATCTCTCACCATCTTTTCCTTTCTACTTTATTTTTATAAACTTTCTTAAATTAGTAGACTTTTTGAATTCATTAGAGAGGGACATCTTATTTAAACTGCCTTAAGCAACATGACTAAAAATAAACATCTAGGATTCCCTTTGCTAGTTATACCATTTCTCTAGAACTGTGACCTTTTCTCTTAGATTTTATACTAAGACTTTTGAGGGCAAAATACATACCAAAAAAAGTATATATGGAGGTGAGCCTAAAGAAATAAAATAGATGCAATGTTAGATAGTATTTGGGTCATGAAAGAAGAGACAAAAGGACAAAGTAATCATGAGTATAATGGTCAGGGGGACAGAGTATGTTGGTTTTAATTCTAGCTCTTCATTTAATTTCTTATGGCATTTGTGGAAATAAGGTTTATTTACTCAAATAAGTAGAAGGTCAACCAACCATTGATTCCAGATCAAGTTCCAAAATTTCAAAATTTTTTTTAAAAAAAGTCTACAGAGATAACAATGAGGCTCTTTACCCTATTTTTTAAAAATAGATTTTAAAAATATATTAAGAATCATAGATAAAACTGGGGAAATCCCTGCCTGGGCCAAAGCATCCTCATATTTTTGCTAATATGGGTGTTCTTATTTGAACTAAGCCTGATAACTTTGGCTTCCTCATATAAATAAAAAAGGTTATGATCTCTGGGTTGTATATGTTTTTGATTAATAATAAATAGCTAGTCAATTATTATTTAATAAACTCTGTGGGTTTGGAAGACCATGGCCAGATGGTCCTGTGGTTCCTGACCTTTATTTCCCCACAAGGACCCTTTTATTATTTTCTGCTCTCTTTTGAAATATTTCAAAATAACCTGAGGAAAAGTTTGTGCTTTGGTGACTTATAGATTGGAGTCTTGCTTCTATACCTAGAAATAACCAGTTTAGTGTTCCTTTGAACCTTAGTCTCATCACCTTTAAAATGGGATTGCTGGTAACAATAGCACAGAACTACCATAAAGTATAAATGAGATTTTTGTTGGGCCCGTTGTTGATGTTTCGTAAATGTTAGTTCTCCTTCTAGCTCCAAAATTTTTTGATATCTCATTTCTGTGTTGACTGTAGTACATTAACAAATCTTGCAGGAACACAGGCATCAACAGGATTAAAAAGAGAGTGCTTTTTTGAAAATGGGTGAGTAGAAATAGTAATGGAACACTAGGAATTTGAAATGTATTGTACAAGGCTATATGGCCAAGACACGTTGTTCATGTAATGAGTACATATACTGAAAGAGAATGTCATGGATTAAGTAGTACAAATACCCAACTGTCACAGAGTGTCTAGTGTGAGAACTTTAATTAAACCTCCCTTAATGAAGTGTTAACATTTAAAATTCAAGAAAGCAAAGATTATCTGGCCCAGGGAAGACCTTTAGTAGGTATATACAGCAGATCTGATACGCAACAAAGTACAGGAAAATATGCCATGAGTTTCTTTCTATAAGGCCACCTGTATCAAAGAGAGACTTTTTCAAAAAGGGGACTAAGGATGTTTCTGAAAAAGAGATCAGACTAAGGCTTTTTCTGAGACCTAAACGAGATGAAAAATAGATTATTGCAACTTTAAACCTGCTAATTTACCTTCAGAAATGTCAAAGTCTTTGTGTGTTTCACAAATTATCCATAAAATTTGAAAGCCTTTGCAGACAACTTTGGAAATCACTTAAACTTCCAGAAGATAAACACCTTTGGAAGGTTAACATGTAAGTACCTAGATGCTCCAAGTGGACTCCGGTTTTCCAAACGTGAATTCTTTTCCAAGGCTGTCATGGAAACCCTATTACCGATCCTTTCAGAATCAGAGGAAATCTAGGGACACTCTCCCAAGAATAATTTATATAATTTATATTTAGACACATACACACATTTGTTCAGGCTCATTGGAGACACCTGGAAGTTCTCAGTGTCACTTAGATGAATAGCCTCTGGTTTATACATCCTCTGATCATTTTGGCAATTGTATCAATCCGTTGATAAAGTTTATATCAGTAATCGAACACCACAACCCCAGAGAGGATTCCCGGGAGAAGTGGGCACAAGCAAGCTGAAGGATCCTATATTCAGTTTTGTCAGGTACCCAAACAAGGCCATCCCCGAAGCAAGCAAGGCCCCGAGCACTGGACTTGATGTGTGTTCTGGCCCCGGTTCATGACACTATTTGTCACTGTCAGCCTGGTGCCTCAGAGGCTCTGGAGGGGATTTAGAAAATTTCAAAAGATGCTCTAAAGTATGGAGGCCCCGGAGGCACAAAGCCCCAAATACAGGCCCCACCTGCCAGGTTCAAGGAAACACTCTGTCCAAGAATTGATGAGTCTCTAAGAGAGACAGACACTAAATAATTTACTGGAATATTGACATGTTGTATAGAACTTAAGTTTCACAGAAGCAGAGAATAGAATGGGGTTTGTGGGGGGCTCTGGGGACGGGGACCTGGGGTGATGTAGGTCAAAGGGTTCAAGTCTTCAGTTATAAAATGAGTATGTTCTTAGGTTCTAATCCACAGTATAGTGACTGTAGCTCATCACAGAGTACTACATACGTGGAAATTGCTGAAAGCAGATCTGAAGCATTCTTACCACACACACAGAAGAGTTAACTGTGTGAGATAATGGACATGTAAATTATCTTGATCTTGGTCATTGTTCTACAATATATGTATATCAAATCATCACACTGTATACTTCAAATATATATAACTGTATCTATCGGTTATTTCTCAATAAAGTTTTAAAAACTGTAAAAACAAAAACTTTACTGAGAAAAAAAAAATCCTGGCTCTATTGTGCTGGCAATGGTGAAAGGAAAAGGTCTGGGTTTTATTATTATTATTATTATTTTTTAAGATTTTATTTATTTATTTGCCAGAGATCACAAGTAGGCAGAGAGGCAGGCAGAGAGAGAGTAGGGGAGGCAGGCTCCCTGCTGAGCCGAGAGACTGATGCGGGACTCGATCCCAGGACCCTGGGATCATGACCTGAGCCGAAGGCAGAGGCTTTAACCCACTGAGCCACCCAGGCACCCCTGGATTTTATTATTTTTATAAAATTATTTTTTTAGGGCAGACACTATATGCCAGGCACTGTGCTGGGCACTTTCACTTTGGCTCTATCAGTGGTTTTCAACCAGGAAGGATGGTGATGTTGCCTTCTGAGGGACATTTGTCAATGTCGGGTGACATTTTGTTTTGTTAATTAGGAGGAGACTGTTACTGGCATCCATTGTGTAGAGGCCAGTGATACTGTGAAACAGTGACACACAGACTAGCCTCCAACAGCAAAATTTCCAGCTCAAAAGGGTAATAGTGATGATCTTGCAAAACACTGGTCCATATTATTTTATTATTTTATAGGACTGCATCAGTTAAAAATCTAAGTATCTCCATATTCTATGTGTAAAATTGGCATATTAATTAAATGACTCCTATCACTCAGATTTTTTAAAAAGGCAGGTTAAGGTTCTCTACGGGGTCTGTTTTACTCACCACACAGCCCCCAGTTTTTAGCTTTTATTTTATCTCACCTTAGACTTCATAAAAGGAATGGGATGAGTATAACTTGCATAGTTCTGGGCACCCCTGTTATGCCTGTGTAACATGATCTCCCACCATCCAATTTTGAAACGGTCCCAGATCTGCCTACCTTCATTCATACATTTTGTTTTACTCGTGGACTGGGGATTTAGTTTCTGTTGTAGAATGGGGCCTTGCAGTCTCCCTTTGAATTGAATGCTGAAGAAACTTCAGCTTTAATTAAAATGATAGTATCACCATTTAAAGGCTAAAATACCTGCAAGGACACAAGTAATAATGGCCCAGTTTTATGTGGGGCCAGCCATCCCAAGAATGCTTCTTACGTGCCTGGTTTGCTTTGAGAAAGAGGAAGGCTGCTTTTCTAAAGATATGAATTCTGGATCTGATTACCTCTGTGAAGAACATTTAAAGAGGGTTAGGCATCTCTGGCTGAAAACAAAAATGACTTTGTGTTAAAAGTTTCATAGTATGACTCCAATAGAAGTCCCACTGACTTTTCCTAAGCAAACTTGTGCAGTACCTGCAGACTGTTCAACAATACAGATGGCCCAGGGTTGCAGCGGGAATAGGGCGGGTAGGATCTGTGATGCATTCCGTGAAGGGTGACATGAACAAAGGAAGGAGTTTGGGGGGAAAAAAGCCAAGTGATCAAAAAAGCATATGAACCCCCTAGTCCTCATTCCCAGCTAATAACCTTACATCTTCTTTTACCAAGAAAACGGAACGTCCACATAACCAAACCACCCTGTTTATCCGCCTCTAGGTGTAGTCCCATATGTAGGTCTGTACTCTCTCCCATTAATTTGGATTGATTGTCTTGCTTCTCATATAAATCAGTCCTCTCACCAATCCACTAAATCCCATCCTTCTCCTCTTCATTTTCATCATTGAAGCAATCCTCCTATTTTTCTTTGCTACATTCTAATACCCCTCCCAGTGGATTTTCTCCAAGCTCACATAAAAATGCTTTTAATTTTCCCACAACAAACCATCTATTGCCCCTTCCCATCCTATTCCCTACTGCATTTATCTGTGGCCTTTGTGTCAGATCCTAGAAAGAATGATCCTGGTAAAATGTAAATTAGATCATGTAACCACTGTTCAACACTCCAAAATCCTGACATCTCATTTGGGGTAAAAAAGCAGTATATTTACAATGGTCAAATGCCCCCCTAGAACATGGCCCTCAGCTGCTTTCTGACCTGAACTTCAACTCCCTTATTCACCTCTCTTCAATGACACTGTGTTTCTTTTTCTTCAGTTGCCAATAAATGCTCTTTTTCCCACTTCAGAGTCTCTGTATTTGCTGTTCCCTCTACTTGAGAACGTCTGCCTCCAAACAGTGAGGAAGATCACGTCCTTGCCTCCTCAGATCATTGTTAAAACACCCACCTTGTTGGTGAGGCCTTCCTAGATGACCTCACATAAGATAGTAGCCCTCATCCTTTGGCATTCTTTATCCTCCTTCCGATATTTCCTTCTTTTCCATTGTGTGGGTCACAGTCTAATGTGTTAAATATTTATTTGATTGTTTCATTCACAAGAATGGAAATTTCAGGAAGGTGGGAACTTTATGGTCTCTTCCATTCATTGCTTTATCCTCTCTTCCGACAAAAGTAGTTGGCACGTGTTTAACAGGGGGGAAGATTGGGATAGGGTGGTAAATAGTAACTAGAAAGAGGGTTGGCAAGAATGGGATCTGAACATAGGGCATTAGTTCAGGGACATCACTTTGCAATTGCTATGGCTCTCTGAAACTGGAATTTTCTTCTTCACTAGGGAGTTACATCTGTCAAGCATTAAGGTATATTTGGGTCCATAGACATGCGTCCTTTCCATAGGTGATGCTGGAAACAGCGATGCAGGTGTATACTCAGGAAACTCCGGTTCTTGTCCCTGTATATTTCTTCCTCTATTTACACCTCGCATCTCTAGCTAGAATCTGGAAAAATGTGATCTTTTGTGCAGTCACAGTGCCTAGATATTTTCAAATCCCAAAAAGAGCCTGAATGGGACAGTTACGATGGACCTGTGTACCACTTACTTGCCTGTGGGACCATACTGCTTTCGGAGGCAGAACCCATCAGCCTAAGCAAAGAAATAAAAGAAGTCAAGGTTAACCCAGGAATAAAGTCTTGGTTTTCAGATGCCACACGATTCTCAAAGAGAAAAAAAAGTATTCATACTGCTCTGGATATCAGAGCTTTAAGATGCTCTGTGACAATGTTGGAGACACTTTTGTGTTGCAGTCTGTTAATGGGCTACCAAAATAATAACCTCTTGGACACAACAGCTTAACTCAGACTCCTGGAAGCCAAAAATGCTCTCCCTGGCCTAGCGGAAGAGGCCCCCCCTTCCATGCAGTGTTTAGAGAAGCCAGGCAAGCAGAGGCTTAAGAGGGGTCAAGGATTTTAATTACACCTCAGTGGTGATCAGAGTCCTTCTCACATGAGTTCCTACAACCTTCTAAAGTTCCTATTCCCTGTTTATCTGTTTGAAAGGGGAACAAACTCTCTGTTCAAGAACAGAACTAACATTCAAGCATAGGACCTGGGGTCCGGGACACCATCCTTTGAAGACAGAAGCTTGTCTATGCTCCCACACACCGAAGCCCCCTGAGGCCTCAATGAAGGTTTCAACAGCCAGAATGTAGTGTCTGGCTCTGCCCGACATCCTCTTGCCACAGAGAGCTATCGCATATTTCTCTAGAGAGGATTTCAACTCCAAAGACCCAGGCTGAGTCTAAGACTATCCTGACCATGTGTAAGACCCCCCAGTGCATGTGAGAATTTCCCGAGGAAGCAGCAACTGTAACAGAAGCATAGATGCCCCATTAGACACTGCAAATATGTCTGTATATTTTGCATTTGGTCTACTGTTAGTTTTTGATATCCAGGTTCAAGCAGGTAATGAAAAAGAGAAAAACAAAACAAAACAAAATAGCAAGCACCTTTGAAAGAGCTCCTGAGATCTCCCAGCAATCCTTAGAGCTGGGACACATTTATCTTGGTCTGGCATTAAAATATAAGGGTAAGTATTAGCAAAACAAAGTTTATGAATGCTGCATGATACTCATTTCAAGGACATCTCTCTTTTTTTTTTTAAGATTTTATTTATTTATTTGTCAGAGAGAGAGGAGCGAGAGTGAGCACAGGCAGACAGAGTGGCAGGCAGAGGCAGAGGGAGAAGCAGGCTCCCTGCCAAGCAAGGAGCCCGATGTGGGACTCTATCCCAGGTTACCGGGATCATGACCCGAGCTGAAGGCAGCTGCTTAACCAACTGAGCCACCCAGGCGTCCCTCAAGAACATCTCTCTTGACCCCCAATAACACCATCATAAACTTGATGCCGAGTAAAAACAAACTTTATGTTGTCCATACCCCCACCCCATCATTATATTTCAACTGACTTCTATTTATTTATATATCTGTGTTTTGATTTATTTATCTGTTACACTTCCAGCATCAAGTAACTGAAGTGATAGATAAACTTATGATCCAAATTTTACTTGAAGAGGGTATCATCAGGAAAAAGGGGCTGGGACAACCCTGGGGAACTTCCTTTCAGCCATGGTAAAGCCTAAGGGACCTCAGAGGAAGGAACAGAGTTCCCCTCTGGGCCAGTAAACAGCAAGGATCTTCTTAGCCTCTCAGGAGATAGTGTGTTTCTGGAAAGGGAAGCGCCTTTCTCTCTCATGGTTCGCTGATGAGGGGAAACTTGTTCCAGCATCCTTTGTCCGTTTTTTTCTTCACAGTTTCTGAAAATTTCTACTTAATGTGACATTTCTCCTCCCAACACTCCTGGGAATGACTACTATGTATAGCATCGGATTATGAATCTACACTTTTGATGACATCTTTTTCTTTAACAAAATTTTATATAAGGATAACCTATGGAGGCTAAAGCCTTACATAATCCCCCTTCTCACCAAACATGGGAATGTTATCATTAATACACAGCAAATAGTTTTTTTTTTTTTTAATGGAAGAGTGGAATTGAGAGTTTTTATTTGTGTTTTCTTTTTTCTGATACCAAAAGTCTCCATTTCCCTTTCTGCTGAGCTGCCACCTGTCCCCACCAGATGCCTTCTTTATTAATCCTTTGACAGTGACCATTGCCAGTTCATTCCCTGAACTCTCAGGGTTCTTAGCAGGTAAACTTTCTTTCCTGAAGTAATTCTCCTTCCCCCATCCTCTCTCTCTCTCTACTCTGCCATTTTAGTTGCCTTGGTATACCCATGTTTCCTTCTGAAGACTATATTCATGGAAGGGAAGGGATTCTAAAATCCTTGTTAAATTGGTTTATGTGCTCCCAAGAAACGTTGCCTCCTCCTCTGTGATTGTTTGACAAAATTGTTTGACAAAAACTATGAGCCCAAGGGTGCCTGGGTGGCTCAGGCAGTTAAGCATCTGACTCTTGGATTCAGGTCAGGTCATGATCTCACAGTTGTGAGATCGAGCCCCATGTCAGGCTCTGTACCTAGCACAGAGTCTGCCACAGATTCTCTCTCCCTCTCCCACTGCTCTTCCCACTCTCTCTCTCTCTCTCTCTCTCCAATAAATAAATAAAATCTTTAAAATGAAAGAAAGACCAAAAAGCAACAAAAAAACTATAAGCCAAATTCCCCCTTCCATTCTGGAGGAAAACAAAGAAACCTATAAGGAAACTAAACTGATTATATATAAATAAATACACACACACACACACACACACACACCTTTAAATATTAAAATGCAGTAGCAGTTTTGCGTTTGTCTTTACTTCCTTTCAAATTACATCTGTTCCATAAATAGGTTCTGATCATTATACTTTTTTTTTTGGTCTGTCTGAAAATTATGTAACATAATCCTAAGAGAAAGTGTTTCTGTGTCCAGTTTATTAGAGAAAAGTCTCCCTATGTCCTCATGTTCTCATGTTGAAGAGATATTCAACCCCTAAATGGAAAGCACTGGGAACCTGTGTCTAATTCTGAAATTGAAGAGGCAAGAGATATAATTATTTATTACTTTTTAATCCCATCAGTGCTTCATTACCATGTGACCTTAAACTGATGATTTAATTTCTGAGTCTTACATTTCTAGTCTAGAAAACAGTGACTGGTAAAACCATACCTCATAGGATTGTCTCAGATTTAGAAAGATAAATTAGGTCAAAAAGACACTTGATACACTATTTAACATAAAATAGGTACTCAGTAAGCGTTAGATCCTAACTCCCATAATAAACACAGAAGAACTTTTCTGTAAAGGATGGTTCCATGGTTCAAACCAGTACTTTGGACTTACGTCATTCTGTTCTGGTTTGTTTTGAGGACTTACTGAAATAATGACTGTAAATATAAATACTGCTCCTAACATAAATGAAGCTCTTAATAAATGAAAGTTATTATATTTCATTATGTTTGCATTACATAACCACACATTTCTCTCTATTCTCCTTAAAAAGTCTGCTTGAAGAGACGAAGATCACCCTTGAGTCAGTTGATTCATGAGATCATGGAAATCCCTGTGTCACAATTAGAACTTTTGGCCCAGATCACGCAGAAAATAGGGAATGGAGAGACCCATAGCATGGAGACAAGAAAGGTCGATTATAGAAATCAAAATGTGCCTCAATTTTCTTTATCATCACAATCTCTACAGCTCTTTGGGTACTCCTCAAAGGCTTGATGTGAAATGAACAGATGTCCTGCCTTTTAATTTAATTTCTGCATAATTTTATGCAAGGACTAACCGTTTTTCTTAAGTCATTTTTATTACAGTTCATACAAGGAAGAGCTCTTGCAAGTAATTACTTCATAAAACTTGAGGGAATAAATCACAGAACTTCAGGATTAATAGGAAATAAAGGCATGAATCTTCCTTACTTGCCAGAAGAGAATCCATCCCCTGAAATAATATGCTAAAATCATAGAACACTAAAGAGAGACAGAAGTAGAATGAAAGATCTTTCCCAAATGCCTTATTGTGTCTCCTGGAGAAAGTGAACCCCATGGAAATTAACGGAGCTACCAAGTCCACAAATGGTATATGTTCTTCAACCCATGCCATTTATAGGACTCAATCTTCACAAAATGTGGAGATGAACATTACTAAATTTGGGGAACAG